ATGATTGATTGATTGATGCATCGGTGAAAGCGTGGTGTCTGCGTGGTTGCGATCACGTCTAGACCTCGTGTTACGACTGCCTCTTTTTGTTTTTGGCTTGTTCAGTTTACGAACACTAACGAGGAGACAGGCTATCGTAGGTTTGGGGATGTAAAACTACGCGAGGTGGATTAATAAATATTGCTTGGCTGGTTAGTGGTTCGGGACTGGTTAGACTAGTGGTAAATCAGATCATAGACGGTGGCGGTGTTTTTTTCCTATGTGCTATTTTTGCGTAACTTTAGCCTCGTCGAACGGGGCTTTCGATCTGGCGGCGAACGTGCCTTGTATGTAGCTTTTTATCAGCTTTACTGCAAAGCAGACGTATGCTGCGGCGTGGTGCATTGGCATAGGAAGGAAGGAAGGAAAGAAAGAAAGAAAGAAAGAAAGAAAGAAAGAAGGAAGGAAGGAAAAAAGGAAGGAAGGAAGGAAGGAAAGGAAAGGAAAGGAGAGGAGAGGAAAGGAAAGAAAAGGAAGGAAGGAAGGAAGGAAGGAAGAAAGAAAAAGAAAGGAAGGAAGGAAGGAAGGAAAGAAAGAAGGAAGGAAGGAAAGAAGGAAGGAAGGAAGGAAGGAAGGAAGGAAGGAAGGAAGGAAGGAAGGAAGATAAAAAGAGAGGGAAGGAAAGAAAGAAAGAAAAAAAGAGAGAGGGGAGGGATAAAGAAAGAAAGGAAGAAAGAGAGAGGGGGAGGGATAAAGGAAGAAAGATAGAGGGAGAGTGAAAGAGAAAGAAACAATGAAAGAAAGAGAGAGAGGAAGTAAGGAAAGAAAGAAAGGGAGAGAGGGAAGAAAGACAGAGAGAAAGAAAAAAACGAAAGAAAGGAAGGAAGGAAGGAAGGAAGAGGAAGGAAGGAAGGAAGGAAGGAAGGAAGGAAGGAAGGAAGGAAGGAAGGAAGGATGCTATATCCCGCTGTATTAGATGCCTTGGATCACACTGTACCGCACCTTCGTTCCCGTATTAAAGACGTGCTTCCGTAAAACTTCGAGTAAACGGGGAGTTCGTATTATGCGGCCATTCTCTGCAGGCGCGCCCTTTCCCCCACTCTACCCGTCCCAGGCCCCGCGGGTTAAATATCTATTCACCCACGGTTCCCACACGCGGCGAGCCCGTTCTGGTTTCAGAAGCTTGCGTGGCTACTTACGCATTCGTACTTAGGGCAGAACCATTGAAATGCAGATTCGGCACGATGTCTCGTGAAACGGTTGCACGTCGGCCTCAGTATACCTCTTTTTTTTTCTTGTGCGTATCGCTTTCAACGTGATCGTGTCCCATTGCGTTTTTTTGCGTGAGCGGTGCTTGATAAAGCGGATTTCGGGGTTTTCTTAAACGGATTACCCGGCTATGTCTCTGTGTGAAAACCTCGTCCGCACTCTTCTTTCCCGAGAGTAGCCGGATAAAAAGTTTTGGAACAACGTGGCTCTGCACAAAGGGGTGAAAAGTTAACAGCTTTGAGGGCTTCGTTCGAAGTCTTTCTCGAGCATTCGCGTGGTAATACGGTGGTCGTTTGATCCAAGAGGGACTTCGGGGGGGGCGACAGCCTATGGGCACAGCTTGAGCGTCAACGCACTATATATATACATATATGCAGCGTGTTTCAAGAAATGTGTCCACTAATAAAAAATTGCAGTACGGAGGTATATGCGTGATACCTGCGGCGTTTTCTTTACTGCGGCAGAAGGTATCTGCAGGTGCGTACAAACATTAATTTAGGCAGTAATTATAAAAATAACATAATTACCTTTTTAACCAGTGGAATTGAGCAGGCGAGCCAAATGGGGGAACGGAAGCCCTTCCAGTGGATAATCCACAGTCAATTTGAAATTTCTGAAATGCGGCTGCTGATGATCACCACGGGGTGATAAGATCTGCTTAGCAGGTGAAACCGAAACCTGATTCACGAAACAGTGCTTTCACCATTCACTTCGAAACTACCCTCATTGAAGATAAACGGTTTAATTAGAGAGAGTGATAGAATTATTTTAATGGGAAGCGGGAGAGGTTTGCCTGGTTTTTCACCTGACAGACTACTCCAGTTGCCGGGTGATGACAGTGATACATACAATGATAAACACACGACACATACAGTTACATACACGCATTACAGTCACATAACCTATAAGTGTTTAATTATGAGCAGTGATACAACATATGTCAAAACCTTAGAAACATAGAAAGGCTACACGATAGCCTGGCAAAGGGAATGCCACCCCCCTCGCCGTTTCATCGATGTCCATGAAGCGCGGTTGACTGAATTTTTTTCCTGTGTGCTCGCGTACTTTTAGGCGTATCAGATAATGCCACATCGAGAATGAACAAACTTCCACAAGGTCAAATGTTCTGATCCAAGAAAAAAAAAAAAACACCTTAGCCTTCGGACGGAAATGTGGCAAATCTGTCTGACTCGATTCAAATCAATTCGCTCCTCCTTTCTTGTTTTTTTTTTGTTCAGAAATGCGGAGAAGCGTTAGATAAAACCACTGTTCACACCGCGGCGCGAACGTCGATTCCGGAAGCGTGTAGTGTTGTGTACGACAAGCGGTTGACCTCCGACCGCCATGTTTTCTTTTTGTTAGCGTGTTCGCTTGACGCCTGTAGGAGTATCAAATCCCACTCCAATGTTGAAGTGCCTTTGTGTCGGGCAAACAGCCTAGAATAAATATACGCGCTAGGATACGCAGTCGAAAGTGAACTACCGAACAACCAAGTGAAGAAATCGATATATGATACGGAAGAAGGAGGGAGCGCGAAACAGACGAAAGTGCAGACGAAAATGAAGAAAAAAAAAAAGAGCAGACGGCGTCTCGAAAAGAGTAGAGATGGCTGCTCTTCTTGTGGTCGGACGCTGTGTCGATCGTGTTCTACGCCTGTGGCGCATGTTATGGCCGAGAAGGTGAGTGCCCGGTACTCTCTGTAGTCTTTTTTTTTCTTTTGCTTTCGCGTTTGCACTGGAATACACGTTGTCAGAAACACACTCGCTATTGAACTAACTAGTTGGTAGTTGTGAAATGCAATAGTCTTTGAAGAGCCTGTTTCGCGATCGTTTCAGCTCGTCTCGTTGCGCGACAACTACGGAATAGGTATCCAAATGTGGCTTGTAAACCATTGAGAGACTACAGGATACGTTCGGCGGAATTCAGTCAAGGGCTTCTCCTCTCCGTCCAATACCACGACGGCGGAAAGCAATAAAGGCACGCTTTGACTTTGCACTCTTTGCCTTAGCTTCTCCTTTAATGAATAAATAAGAATATTATAAAGACTAAATAACAATTGAGCATTCCAAAACCATGCCAAATTAGGCATTATTAACGCGATACCCTCACCAGTCTGCGACGCATGTACTCGAGTTCCCGCCGTGAGAAGATTCGGGCGCCAATATTTTGATGACGATAGTCTTTCTTGGGGACCTTCGACGCAAAAATTTTGGTCTGTCTCTCTGCACGTTTGGCTGTTTGTCCACTCTTAATGGTATCGGGTACTTAAAAACGGCACCCCGGCTACCCGTCGCATTGCGTTCTACACCTTATCATCTCTGAGATGGGCGCGCACGCCCGTCTTAGAGCTGCGCGCTTTGTTTGACAAGAAAACTGCCAGATGGCACTCATGTTTCACGTGTGACGTGACTGGATGCGCTCGTTCGTCTCCGCTGCACGCTCGAGGCACTCTAACGCAGCGCCTCCAGAATACACATTCACCGATTTTCTAGCGCAGGACATCATATAAATGTTTCGTCCACTCTCTCCACACGCAAGACTATCGTCTTTCGACGACATTTGCAGATTAACATGCAGATATGGGGCCAATTTTTAGATGCGGAGCATCTAATACTCGAGGCTTGTAGTGCAGCGCCGTCCGCAAGCTTCCTCCTCCTTCTTCCACCATCTGTGCATCCCTTCCTCCTCTACACATCGCGCGCGCTTCACTCCTCCACCATCTGTGCACCTTTCCTCCTCTACACACAGCGTGCGCTTCTCCTCTTCACGAACATTCGCTAGCTGTATAATGTAGCGCGCATGCGCCGTCACGCTTCGAGAACATCGGCAGCTGACGCGCGCGCATGCGCCGTCGCGCTTCGAGAACATCGGCAGCTGACGCGCGCGCATGCGCCGTCGCGCTTCTCCCCCTTCTCGAACATTCGACAGCTGACAGTGCATGCGCCGTCGCGCTGTATATATACTCAAGGTCGGCGCTCGCTCGCTCAGTTGCCGCTCGTCGGTTGGTTTGTACGGCGCGTCGACGTCCAAGGTCGCGGTGAAATGAATTCCAACGAATCCACAAACACAATGATCGACGTCCCTTCGACCAGCGCCGCCGTTTCGCATACGTGTGTACGTGTTCACTCATTTAACACCCCCTCCTACAACCACGTTAACCAATTTAGCCATCGACCCAAGTAAGTCGCAATTTAACACCCCATTTCACAACCACGTTAACCAATTTAGCCATCGACCCAAGTAAGTCGCACTTTAACACCCCGTTAACCAATTATATGCTCCGCATCCTCCTCAGTGTTCCCCCGAGGGAAGCTGCGGGCAATTTTTTTTGTCAGGGCTCTGCGCAAATGCTTGCGCGAGAGGTAACTGAGCAAACAAGGGTGAAGAGTGTTTGACCACTGATGCTTTTGTTAGAATTTCACCTTCATAATCATAATCTGTCTCTCTATCTGTTTGCTACCGCTTCCCATTTCGCAACGCTTAGCAGCATGTCAGGACGTCCTGCATTGCTGTTTCACGACCTGCAGGAGTACAAAGTTGAGGCCCATTTAAATTTGCTGCATCTGTTTGTTTCGCCCGATGTATGCACACGTGCAGTGGCTTGTCTAATTATAGAATTCGAGGGTGCGGTTTTTATTAATCAACGTCGTTTTTTCTTCTCCGGTCTCCCTCACTTCTCTTGTCTTTTATGCTAATTACTTCTCCTGCTAATAAGTCAGCACTATTTAATCGCGTTACTTCTTTACTAACTATTCATTCATTTATTGATGCCTATGATGCACCCGGTTACAGGATGAGTGGAAGTCGTTGGATTGTCTCTCCATATAGGCTCGACATCACACTCGTGGTCTTCATTTTGGTTTGGCTTCGTCCCGCTGTTCTTTTTGACGTTGTTGATTGTGACGTGCGGCTAGAAAGAAGGCGGGGAAAAAAGAAAGAAAAACAAAAAAATGTAGAGGCATTAAACTATAAGTGATGCTATGTGCGGCTGCAATTCTGTGCATTTCATACGTAAATGATTTGCTCACTAGTGTAGGCTTTTTTATCGCAGCTAAATTTTTTGTGGTCTTACGCATCTTCATGTATAATTGCTGCAAATGTTTTTTTTTTCCCGAAGGGCACTATGTCGAGTGCTCCGAGTGTTTCAACTATCGCAACCATGTGGACTCTTGCCACCAAGACTTGAACGAAAAGAGAGAAACAAAAAAAAAATGTACAGGCATAAAACTATAATAGAAGCTATGTGCGGCTGCAATGTCGTGCATTTCATACGTAAAGATTGCTTGCTAGTGTACGCTTGTTTATCGCAGCTTATGTTTTGTGAACTCACGCGTCTTTATCTATATTTGCTGCAGATGTGTATTTTCCGAAGGGCTTTATGTCGAATGCTCCGAGTGTTTCAGCTATCGCAACCACCAAGACTCGAACGTAGGAAACGTGTAAGTAACTGTGGCGGACCCCGACTTACATTCGCCAGCAATATACCGTAAAAATATCTAGAAAGGCGTCGCGAGCCTAGCAATTAAGCGCCTTCCTTCCTTCTTCGGGATTGATTGATTGATTGATATGTGGGGTTTAGCGTCCCAAAACCACCATATGATTACGAGAGACGCCGTAACGGAGGGCTCCGGAAATTTCGACCACCTGGGGTTCTTTAACGTGCACCAAAATCTGAGTACACGGGCCTACAACATTTCCGCCTCTATCGGAAATGCAGCCACCGCAGCCCGGATTCGAACCCGCGACCTGCGGGTCAGCAGCCGAGTACCTCAGCAACTAGACCACCGTGGTGGGGCACCCTTCTTCGGGAGATTACAGATGTGCAGCCTCTTCTTCCTTGCCGGCATTTTCAGTTTTATTCGCTCTTTTTATTAGCCCAACGAGGGCGAATGAAAACAGCGTGTATTCGCCATGGTGGTCTTGTGGCTATGGCACTCGGCCGTTGGCCCGCAGGTCGCGGGATCGAATCCCGGCCGAGGCGGCGAAAATGCTTGGTGCCCGCGTGTGTAGATTTAGGTGCACGTTAGGGAATGCCAGGTGGTCGAAATTTGGGAGCCCTCCGCTACAACGTATCTTAGAATCCTGTGACAGTTTTAGGACGTTTATGCCCCCCCCCCCCCCCGAACTAAAAAAAGAGTGGATTCGCATTGAATCAAGCAAATAATTAGAAGCACGAGTGCGAATTCTTTCTCCTTAACGGCTCTTCCACTGCCATGTATAGTTTTGATACGTGACCGAGAAAGGGCCCCCCTCCATATCTCGTCGAATTATGTTTCACCTTAGGGGAGAGGGGGGGAAGAGAGCGCTTGATTGGAATTTTACGGTAGAGTAACTCGCTCCATTACGCCTTAATCAGCTCGTCACTAGGGGTTTATAAGACGTTTCCAGGTAGGAAGGGAAAGTGGGTGTCAGATTGTGGGATATCCCCTCTTGGGGAATTATTCATAATAGGTGGTGTGAAGGGCCAATGTATACGAAAGCGAAGGGATATACAGTCAGGGCATGTGGTTTCCTGGTCCCTCCCCACCCCCCTTTTTGGCGTTGCCTGTGAAGCCAAGCGAAAGTAATGAGAAGCAATTAAGTTTGTTGTTATTGCACTCATATCGCATTTAGCACTAAAGTGTCGGTGGTGTTATTATTATTTTTAAGTCATAAACGCCACAAGGTGGTCTAATGCAGTATCAAGCAGTACAAAAGAAAGACAATCTTAGCGGTCTTTGCATTCATTCAGAACTCGAAATCGCATCAACGCAAAGTAGGTAATTTGAAGTCGACTCTTTGTGTGTGTGTGTGTGTGTGTGTGTGTGTGTGTGTGTGTGTGTGTGTGTGTGTGTGTGTGTGTGTGTGTGTGTGTGTGTGTGTGTGTGTGTGTGTTTGGTGATGCCTGGGCCTTCCGAAATCACTTACCGACTGTCGCAAGCACCTTCATGGCTTCATCGTAGTCAGACATTTCCTTCGCGAAATCAGAGGCCCCATCATCCGGATTCCCTTCCTTGCCGAAGTCCTCGAAGACTGGCGACGCGTCGCCGAGGCTTTGGACGGGAAGAGGTTTGAACAAGGCGGGACGTTAGCTCGTAGTCTAAGCGAATCGCAAACGGACAAACTGACTACGCTAGTTAAAGGGTTACTAGGAAGAAAAACGATTCCTCGGCTATTGGTACGCTACTCTTCGAAGATTCCAAAACTATTACGTTAGCCGCAAGCAATCGGTTCGCAAGCGAGAAAACGCGCTAAAAGTAAGGGCGCGGGATGACGCCATATTGAGAGTGCCGCACCCAACGCGATGACGTCATAAATTTTGACGGCGTCTGCTATCTGCGATTTATTTCGTGAGCCGTAAAAATGAAGTACGTTGCCCTTTGAAAGGGACGCAAGCTAAATTCTCGTCGTGTTTTTCGTATCAATCAATTCGTATTTTTCGTATTGTGGCGCAAATGTCGCCACAATACGAAAAATACGAATTGAAAACAGTGACGTCACATTAGGACATTTAGGGGCGAAATTCAGACATGTGACTTTGGCCTTGATTGTTTTCCTTAGTAAACCTGTGAAATTAACGAAATTATAGTTCTGTGAGTACAATTCGCTAATCGTAGCTGATTCGTTTTTTTTCACTTTAGGGTCCTTTGAAAAGTGATCCAGGTGCAGCCTTGTTGACGCATATTCACATAACCACTTTCACCAGTGCATTCACAACGTCCTCTCGCCCACATCCACTCTCACGCGATAAAAAACTAAAGGTGAATAGGACGAGGACTAAGCTGAGTCTTGAAAACACACGAGTGCTGCGTGTCTCGTCGTGTGTGATTTTAGTTTCTGTCGTGCCTTACCAGTACACCCAGTCACCTTGGTGAAGTTCACTTCAACGTTATCACAATCACTTGCCCCTATTTTAAACACACTAACCTTCATTCACTTCACGGTGACCACTGTCGCTAGTGGACTCAACTTGCGAGTGCTCTCTCACATACTCGCAGCTGCTGATTTGGGATATCGCTGATATAAACACTTGCACTCGCTCGCATGTATTTACGAATATCTTCTCACTGAGACACTGACGCCTGCTTAGTGAAAGTTACTATAACATGCTCGTTTTCTTTCAGGAATGCCCTGTCGCACACTCTGGCGTAACGTAATCGCCTTCACCCACTCATTAACATAAGCTCACTGAACAAGACCAGCGAACGCGCATTCTATAAAAGCCACCTTCCCAATAATTCACGTACGATTGCTGCCTCAATGCTTCACGTCAACCGTCATCATCTCTAACATGAAAAACAAGAATCAATGAACCACCCAGCCCGTTAAGTTTGCTTGCTTGATGCCCACCACTTGCTAACTTGCTCTGGCGCGATCACTCTTGCTCGATAGCAATCACACGCATTCTACTGTAGCTCGCTCACTCTCCCTTACTGACTTCACTGCACTTCCACCCACTGGCTCACTAATTAACGCGCGCCTATTCGTTCCACACGCTCGCTCACTTCACTCATTCACTCGCTTCACTGACTCAACAACACACGCTCACTCACTCCATGCTCTCTCTCATTCATTTCACTCACTCACTCACTCACTCACTCACTCACTCAATAGCCCCTCACTCATACAACCATACATTAACTCTCCGACACTTCTTCACTGATGTTCTCTCACTCACTCACTGACTCATTCACTCATTAACCCAGTGACACTTTTTCACTGATGTGCACTCACTCAATCATTCATTCACTCACTCACTCATTTATTCACTCACTCACTCACTCACTCAAAAGTCTTCAGCTCATGCGCATTCAGTTAAACAATCATATGCAATCATTTACACTCACGCACTCGCACTTCATCTTTCCCATACTTAAATTCCTGGGTTATTTCCTTCTCTTAGTGTTCATCGGTCATTTCCAAGTATCCGTTCGCGTCATTATTGTTGCCCGCCTTTTTCTACTTACGTTACTGTATAAGGCAGGAGCGACCTCCTTGCCCTCTTGTTGGCTCCGTCTTTTCCCTGGGCTTAGAAAAAAAAATAAAGCGATTTTGTTGAATAATATCGTGTGCGTGTTGATGAAGGCTCATTGCTAGCTATCGGGCGCGAATGCCGCGTGCTCAGCGAAGGGCCTTCACCGCAAAGTGTCCTCTAGACTACTCTGCAAATGAAGAGAGTTGCCCTAAATAACTTGGTATTTGGGGCAAGAAGCTGCCATGAACGACTAAAAACGCTAGCTTGCGTTGACTACAGGCACACCGCAATGGTAACCATAATTACCACTATCCGATACAAGGGCTACATTTTTATTGTGATAGGAATTATATGTACTCTCTCATACGGATTTCTCTGTCAGCGGAGGCTCCACCAATTTTTTTTGTATCTAGCGCTTACCGTTGTTGGCGGGCATCTCGGGGGGAAATATTGTGTTTTCGACATTATCAGCAAGATGGCGCAGTGAGGGCGCGGCGGCTCACAACTCTCAGTGGGTAGCGTCTCTCAGACTGGTGTGCGGACGCACACCTATCGCGCTCCGCTGCTAATGCCGATTCTGACCGGTCAACGGCCTCGAATCTTCCTGAGCTGCACGGACCCTCTTCCGCGAAGTTCACCTGAACATTTCGACACCTAGTTCACCAAGGTGGGCTCGTTTTTCATCATTTTAGAGGCCTTTTTGCTGCACCAGCGAGCTAAGCCTAGGCGAGGTTAGGCCAGCCTCCCCGCCTACGGCGCTCGCACGTCAGCTGCGATATGCCGCAGCAGATTGCCATGGAAGGGGACGACGTCACCCCTGAGGAATTACAAGGAAACGGATGGTTCTCCGTTCTAAAAAGACGGCAAGAATCGCGAGCGAAGTCACACGCAGCCCGCCAGTCTGGAACGCAACGAGGCGCGACAGCGACGCCGAACGCTACTCTACGACGCGTCGCAGCTGCGAGCCGACTGCCGGCGATGCCACGTAGTCACAATCGAGTCATCGTGCGACCGGGAGGCGGCCTCAACGTGCAAGCCTGCAGCCCGCACAGGATTCTCGCCGCACTAACCATGGCAGCTCAGCTAGCGCCGTCGGTAACGGAGGAGGACATTATTTGTCCCAACTCGATGCAAAACATTTTTGTCGTCAGTACGCCCAGCGCTACTAATGCAGCAGCGTACAGCCGAGTAACAGAGATCATCCTCACCGACCAGAGACACCCGGTCACGGCCTACCTCTCACCTGCCGGTATCACGAGCCGAGGCGTGATTCGCGGCGTCGACACTGACTTTGACGACGCAGCACTCAACCGCATGCTAATCCAACCGCGCAACTCAAGCCTACTGGGAGCGCGTCGCATCAAGAACACTGGAACTGTGATTCTGATCTTCAACGGGCTCAAAGTGCCCAACTACGTCTACTGCGGCCAGGTCATCTACCGCTGCACGTTGTATAAGCGCCAAATAGACACCTGCCGTACCTGCGGCCAAGTGGGCCATCGCCAAGACGTGTGCCCCACTCCTTCAACCAAGGTCTGCGACCACTGCGGTCACTTACCAACGGACAATCCACACGTGTGCAACCAGCCAGTGTGTGCCTTATGTGGTGAAGCACACTTCACGGGCGACCGCGAATGCCGACATCGCTACCAGCTGCCTTACCTGGTGCGCCGTCGTCGTCAGCGCCGTCGCCGACGAAAGCAAGCCCAGCAGCAAGCACCCACCCCAGCAACCAGCCCGGTTGCTGCCAAGACCACCAAACCGCAAGGACCTCCTCTAGGCCCACGAAATCCTACTCCCACTGACCAGCCTACCTGGGCCGACAAGGTGGCATGCAAAGGTGAGGCCCACGCAGCGCAGCGTCAGGGACACTCGCCACAGCAACCTGACCCAGAACTAGCACAGTTAAAACGCATGTATGCGGAGCAGGCTAAAGAAATCCAATCGCTTAAAGAAGAGCTAGCAAAACAACAGGCCCCCGAATCGCGCGAGGGTAGCATTATCAGCGGCCCCGTCTCGATACGCGGCGCTAAGAAACGGGCAGGCCCGACGCTCCAGGCCGAAGAGCAATCCGATTTTGACCGGTTTACAGCCAATATATACGCGATACTAGAGCAGTACCGCGCAGAGACCACGGCCGAGTATAGCGCTTTCAACGCTAAACTAGAGAGCATGCAGAAACAACTTATCGAGTTGGCTACATGGCCAGCACAAATAGACGCGAGGACTAAGGTGTTGGAGGAGGACCTGGCACGCAGTAAGCGTGCTGGGCAAATACCTAGACCCTAAAATGGCGTCGTCACAATCATTCACAATTTGGCAATGGAACGCAAGTACCCTCCGTACGCGGAGAGAAACGTTACAACAATTCATTGGCTCTATGACCCAACGACCGGCCGTCATTCTCCTGCAGGAAACGCGTATCGACCGATTCGCTCTTCGCGGATACAGAGTCGAGGCCGTCTGTGGGAACAAAGCTCGAGGAATAGCCACTTGTGTGGCTAAGCCTTATGCTTACACGACACATGCAGTACGCCCAGACCTCAAAATAGAGCATCAGATGATAGAGATTATCCCCAGCGCTCAGATTAAGCAATCGGTATTTATCCTTAACGTGTATAGTTCACCTTCACACAGCACAGAAACATTCACCACACTACTAACTAAAGCGACGCAGATAGCAGGCAACCATCCCCTCATCATCGCGGGGGACTTCAACGCCCCCCATGTACAATGGGGTTACAATCGCACAACACAGAAAGGACGCCACTTACAAACACACATCACTCAACACAATCTCATGTTACTTAACGACCTCTCTACCCCCACACACATAGGTAACTCAGTGTCACGGGACTCATCCCCTGACCTGACCCTAGTACGCAACGTTTCGAACCCCACATGGGTTAATCTGCAAGCTAACCTCGGTAGCGATCACTTTATCTGTAGCACAACAGTCAATATAGGCAGCCTCGAGCCCAGAGACTTTAAAGTAGTAGACTGGAACTTTTTTAGGCAAATACGCAAACAAGACACCAACCATTACTCTTCACTCTCTGAACTCTTTGCGAGGCTACAGCGGGACGTAAAACAAGCTACCAAAAATATTTCTACAACACGCAACATAGACCACATGGACAGCCACCTCGCACATCTCCTGGAGGCTCACAAAAGTCTTCAAGAAAGATGGAGAATGCATAAACTCAATCGTAGGCTACGAAAAAGAATTGCATTGCTCAACCGACAAATCGAAGAGTACAGTCACACACTAGCACGCAATCAGTGGAATGAGGTGTGTAATTCGCTTGACGCACGCATGAGAAAGGGTCTAAAATGGGACCTTCTCAGGCATCTGCTCGGCGACAAGCCCACCAAGTCAGAGCAACGACTAACTCTAGATAGACTGTTACACAAAGCGCGAGGACAGCAACTTACCGACGCGCAGATTTTAGATGCTACAGCAGCCCGGTATCTATGCACAGAACCTACCTCACATGAAGACTATCCACCTTACGCGGGGGCCGCAGACGACCCATTTGAGCATGCTATAACTAGCGCTGAAATACGCGCGGTAATAGCAGAGCTCAATACTAAGTCAGCCCCGGGTCCTGACGGAGTCACCAACAAGCTACTCCGCAACCTGGCTGACCATGACATTGAATCACTAGCCACCCACATGAATGAGGTTTGGGAGCAAGGGAGCGTCCCGCCAGAATGGAGGGCCGCGACCGTCATACTCATTCCCAAGCCGAACAAACCCCTGGAACTCGACTCTCTACGACCCATCTCCCTCACATCCTGTGTGGGTAAGGTCATGGAGCACGTCATTCTCCGTCGAGTCACACAATATTCAGAGCGAAAACACCTCTTCCCATTCAATCAAGTAGGGTTCAGGCCGGCTATGGCCACGCAGGATGTACTTCTCATGCTGCAGGAGACGTTACTTAAAGTAAGGAGCAAAGACCTCCGAGCAATCCTAGCTCTTGACTTAGAAAAAGCTTTTGATACCATAAGCCACGCTCATATACTACACGAGATTCAGGAGGCAGGCTTAGGCCGCCGTTTCTACGAATACGTCCGCTCTTTCCTAAGAGCCAGAACGGCCACACTTAAAGTTGGGGATCTCAAGTCACACACCTACAACCTAGGCCCGCGCGGCACCCCGCAAGGGTCGGTGCTCTCACCGTTTCTTTTCAATTTAGCCCTCAGGCAACTTTCGCAAAAGCTTCGACACATCGAAGGTGTAGAACACGCGCTCTACGCCGACGATATTACTATTTGGCGTACTGGAGGGAGCGATGGACAAATCGAAGCGAGCCTTCAGGAAGCAGTCACTGCAGTACAAACATTTTTAAAGCCCACGGGCCTCAGACTATCGGCATCTAAGTCCGAGTTGCTGCTTCTGCCACCACAGTACGGCCGCACCAAAGCCGAACCTACCATACACCTCTCCACAATGGATGGCTCGGTTATCCCGATAGTGTCGTCGGTTCGAATTCTGGGCGTTACCCTACAGGAGAATGGCAAAAACGACTTAACCATCACACATCTCACCAAAAAAGCTGAGGCAGTCATGCACCTCGTCCGACGCGTCGCTAATAGACACGCAGGACTCACAGAAGAAAGCTTACTACGCATCTTTCATGCGTTCTTAATGTGCCACGTTCACTACGTTGCCTGCGCTCACCCGTGGAGCAAAGGCGATGAAACTAAAGTAGACAACCTCATCCGAAAATGCACAAAACGAGTACTTGGTCTACCCATGTCCACAAGCACGCAGCGCCTGCTATCCCTTGGGGTACATAACACGTTCCAAGAAATCATCGAAGCACAAAGAATGTCCCAACTCATGCGCCTGTCTTCGACAGCTGCGGGTCAGGAACTCCTCTCACACATAGGTCTTCCTATCCCAACTCAAGTGAACGAAGCAGAATCATTACCGCAACACCTTCACGCTAAAATCACAGTGCTACCCTTCCCCAGGAACATGCACCCGGTGCACAATCAGGCTCGAAGAAGGGCACGAGCTCAATCCTTACTAAAAGCGGCCAAC